CTTTGAACGGGAGCCAGAACAAGTTTTGGGCCAACCGGAAAACACACATAAAAAACAACAGCGAAAAACCGCCGCCCCTCATTCTGTTTGTTTGTTTTTGGGCCTGGCGGTGGGGGGGGGAAACAATGCGGGGCAATTTTTGTTGTTTATCATTTTTTTTGATATGTAGTATACATGTTGGAAACCTAGGTGTAAATCGCCCACAAAAAACATCATATTGAAAAGCCGCAAATAAAGGAGTCCATTTGTAATTCATTCCTATTGACAATTGTTGTTCTGGCTCCCTTTCAAAGGAAATCTTCTTGTGGATGATTTACAACATGATTCCTATTGTGTGGATTACAAGTCATATCCTTATTGTGCGGCTTTTCAATCGGATCCCTTCAGTGGGCGATTCACACATTGATTCTTGGTGTGCGGATTTCACATCGAATCCTTTCTGTGCGGCTTTTCAATAGGATTCCTTTTGTCGGCGATTTAATCAATTTTCTATTGTGCGGATTACACATCGAATTACTTTTATGCGACTACACACACGGATTCTTCTCGTGGGGGATTTACAGATGTATTTTTTTTGCGTGAATTCCAAATCGAACCCCTTTGTGTGACTTTCCAGCCCGGGATCTTGTCGTTTGAGACTTACATCTTGAATTCAACTGTGTGGGAATATCCCCATATCTCAAGAGACTTGTATTGCTGGTGGCTTGGCCTTTGATGCGCTTTTTGAAGTAAATCGCATCCACCTCGAATCGAATCCCATGAGCAGTGGATCCACCCGTAATACAATTCTGTTAGAGGTGGTTCCGTTCCCAGTAGAGTTCGAATAGAAGTGGATGCACAGCTGAGGAGGAGGAGGAGGAGGAGGAGGAGCAGGAGGAGGAGGAGGAGGAGGAGGAGGAGGAGGAGGAGGAGAGAAGGAGGAGTAGGAGGGGGAGGAGGAGGAGGAGGAGGAGGAGGAGGAGGAGGAGGAGGAGGAGGGCAGCGCCAGCGCAGGAGTACGAGAAGCTCGCCATATTCGGGGAAGTGCGTGGGCGACGTGGCGCGGAGCTGAAGGCCGGCGGGCGGCAGGGTTGCCGTGTCCCATTCTCCATTCGGTACGGTCGGCCTGTGGAGTGAAAGAACGAGGACGAAGATCGACAGCAATTCTTGCTTGTGTTTGGCAGGATCCGCTGTCGGTGCCGCAGCGGGCGTTGTGAATTTGAGACCTCCCCTACCGAACAACAGCGACCGCTGTCGGTCTGTGGCCGCGTCTGCTTTCGGGCATGGCCCCCATCTTTCCGTTCCCGTATCGGGCGTGCCAATCTGTTCTCGCTCCTTCGTTCTTCGCTCCTCGCTTGCTCTTCGCTCCCCCCCTCCCTCCCCTCCCTCCCTCCCTCCTCGCGCGCGATTGGCCCGCCCGATTGGAACCGCCCAGCAACAGCCCTGGCGCGAGGCGGGCAACGGCGTGGCAGATATGGCGGCGAGAGCTGGACGCCCCCTGCGCCCCTCTCTCTCTTGCCGCAGAAGGCGCGCTCCATCGAGCGCGAATTTGAAATTGCGAAGGTTCCCTGTACAGTGCCGTTTTTGATGCATGCTCCGCGTGCGGATCATGTATTAATCATGCAGGGATTTAGTATTAAAAACAACGATGAGTTCATGCATGGATTTATTCATACATTAATCATGTATTCAGAATCCAATGTTAAAGGTTCCCTGTACAGTGCCGTTTTTGATACATGCTCCGCGTGCGGATCATGTATTAAACACGCAGGGATTTACTATTAAGAACAACGATGAGTTCATACATGGATTTATTCATACATTAGTCATGTATTCAGAACCCAATGTTAAAGCAAATCCCATGTATTAAAAAAACGCCCTGTGAGCTTGACGCTCGGCTCTTCCCCCGCGGGCCCGCGGCGCGGGTCGTTTCTGCCCGCGACTCGGAGTGGTGCGCCAGTTATCGGAGAGGCAGGTTTGCACCTTCCTTGGCCGCGTTTTTTTTGTTTTTGTTTTTTTGTTTTTTTGTTTTTGTTTTTTCCAAATAGACTTGCCCTGTGGGGGTCCTAGCTCCGTCTTTTTAGACCCCCCTCCGTTCTCCAATGCCCCCCCCCCCCGTGGAGGTGGTATCTCCGCCCCCTGGAACATTTTTCCTCTTCTATGAATTAACAATCAATTGACTCCTGTGGGTTTGGGGTCTGCTACAACCGCAATGAGACCAATTGGCATACTCTTGAACTCGAATCTGGATGCCCCTGCATCTGTTTTGCACTATCCCGACGTGACTGCTATTGGAGTCAACTTGAGATCATCTCGATTTGGGCTCTGCTCAATTCCATCGACGTCCCATTGGGAACCTTCTGGATCTGGTATATGCCCATCGACCATGGGCAAATTCACATGACATATACCGTGCGGTTCTGCAACGACTTCGCTACCGTTAGGGTTCCTCTGAATCTCTGAGTTGGGGGCCAACGATGTTTTGCCGCGGAACGGGCGCTGCTGAGCTACGCGTGGAGGCACTCCAGTGAATGGCACCACAGGCAACCGCAAGTACGCATCAGCCCCTGAACAGCGAGCTCGAGCAGTGAAGTCATGGGATCACAACGCGAATTAGGAACAGAAGGAGCAGAAGGGGCAACGGGGACAAAGAGGGGGCAGAGGGGACAAGAGGTGACAAAGGGGACAAAGGGGCAAAAGGGGACACATGGAGACAAAAGGGGCAAAGGGGACACAAGGGGACAGAGAGAGGACAAAAGGGGCAAAAGGGTCAGAGGGGACAAAGGGGACAAAAGGGGACAAATGTGGAGCAATGAGGACACATAAGGCAAGGGGGACAAAGGGGACAACAGGAGACAAAGCGGGGACAAAGGGGACAACAGGAGCAACGGAGACAAAAGGGGACGACGGGGCCAACAAAAAGACAAAGGGGACAAAGGGGGCGAAGGGGGCACAGAGGGGGAACATAGAGGGGACAAAGGGGGGACAACAGGAGCACCGTCGAGGCATCACATTAATTACCTCCTGCGGCGCCGGAGAGAGCGCTCGGAGAGCGCCCGAAGGCGCCCGAAGGCTTCATCTTGAATTGCCCGAGCCATCCCAAAAATTGCCTCCAAAAATACACCTCAAAAAAGCAACTGCAAAACACCAAAAACATGCACCTCAAAATTGCACTTCAAAATCGGAAAAAATAGCAGAACATGCAATTCCCCCTTTTGCGGCCTCAAAAAGCTTTCGTGGGCGGCGGTGGGCGCTTGTGCTCCGCCACAAAAGGAATCTTTTTTTTGAGCCCGCCGCAAGAAGAGATTCTCTTGGGATCCGCCACACTGGGAATCCTTTGTAATCCGCCACGAAAGGAATCCTTTTGTAAGCCGTCACAAAAAAGAATAAAGGAACTCTTGTGGAATCCGCCGCAAAAGGAATAATTCTTGTGTAATCCGCCACAAGAGGAATCCTTGTCGAATCCGCCGCAAAAGGAATCCCTCTGGAACCTGCCACAAAAGGAATCCCTTCAAGGCGGACGCACAAGTTGACCGACGGCTCAGGGGGTGCAAAGGAAAAAGAAAACATAAAAAATGACAAGGGAAACAGAAAGTCAATGAAACAACGTATAAGACCCACGGTTTTTGATGATTTTTGGTTGGGTACCACCGCCACAGAAGGAATCTTTTCGTAACCCGCCACAAAACGGAATCATTTTAGAATCCGCCACAAAAGGGGTCCTTATGTAATCCGCCACAATAGGAACCCTTCTGCAATCCGCTACAAGAGGAATGAAGGAATATTTTTTGAACCCGCTTCAAAATGAATCCTTTTTCTAATCCGCCGCGAAAGAAATTCTTTTGAAATCCGCCGCCGAAGGAAGTCTTTTGGAATTCGCCACACAAGAAATCCTTGTATAATCCGCCACAAAAGGAATCCTTCTGGAATCCGCCACAAAAGAAATCTTTTAGTAATCCGCCACACAAGGAATCCTTTTGGAATCCGCCACAAAAGGAAATCCTTTCGGGCGGACGCACAAGTTGACCGACGGCTCAGGGGGCACCGGGGAAAAAAGAAAAGAAACACAATAGACAGGAGAAAAGAAAAAAAACGCATGGGACTCACGTTTCTTGATGAATTTTTGGTTGGGTGCCGCCGCCACACATGGAATCCTGATGTAATCCTTTTATGGCGGATTACAAAAGGATTCCTTGTGTGGTGGGTTACACAAGGATTCCTATTGTGGCGGGTTACAAAAGGATTCCTTTTGTGGCGGATTCCAGCGGATTCCTTTTGTGGCGGATTGCAAAAGGATTTTTTCATTTTATGGCGGGGGTACCCAACCAACAATTCATCAAACAACGTGAGAGTCCCAAGCGTTTTTTTGGTTATATAAAAGAATTCTTTTGTACCCCCTGAGCCGTCGGTCAACTTGTGCGTCCGCCTTAAAGGAATTCCTTTTGTGGCGGATTCCAGAAGGGTCCCTTTTGTGGCGGACTACACAAGGATTTCTTGTGTGGCGGATTCAAAACGGGTTCCTTTCACGGCGGATTCCAAAAGAATTCCTTTCGCGGCGGATGAGAAAAGGATTCCTTTTGTAGCGGTTTCAAGAAATATTCCTTCATCCCTCTCATAGCGGATTGCACAAGGATTCCTACTGTGGCGGATTACATAAGGGCCTTTTTTTGTGACGGATTCCAAAAGGATTCCTTTTGTGGCGGATTACGAAAGGATTCCATTTGTGGCGGATGGCAAACAAGTCTTTTTATATGCGGACTTCAAAAGGACTCGCGTGGAAGATGGACGAGGAGGAGGACGGCGACGACGAAGGGAGAGAAGAAGCTCTACATGATGACGATAATCACAGATTATGTAAAGCTTCGAAAACCCTTACACGAGCGTTGTTCCAGGGGGCGGAGATGCAACCCTTGCCCCCCCCCCCCCCCCTCCCCCTCCCTTTTATTTCCAATGCCCTCCCCCCTCCCCCCTTCGTTTTTTCCAAGGCCCCCCCCTCCCTTATTTCCAATGGCGCCCTTTGCCTGCCCTCGCTTGCTTGCACTTGATCGCTTGCCTTTGCTTTCTCTTCCTTGCTCTTGCTTGCCCTTGCTTGCTTGCGCTTGATCGCTGGCCCTTGCTTGCGTGTTATTGCTTGCTTGCGCTGACTTGCTTCCGTTCGCTGCTTGCGCTTGCTTGCTTCCGCTTGCTTGCTTGCGCTTGCTTGATTTTGCTCAGCCCATCCTCTTCCCGTCCTGCTCCCCCCTCCATTCGTCTTCCCCCCATCCTCCTCTCGTCCTCCTCCTGTTCTTCTGTGTATGCGGGGTCGACGCTGGCTGATGTGGCACATGCAATGCTTATCTTCCTATTGGCTTGCCCTATAGGAGTCCTAGCTCATCATGCGTAATTGGTCTTTAGCCCCCCCCCTCCCCTTCTTGTCCAACTGTGCCCCCCCACCGCCCTTTTTCCAATGCCCCCCCCCTGCCTCCCCCCCTTCCCCCCCCCCGCGCCGCCCGCCCACCCACGCGCGCGCGCACGCGCGCACGCGCACACGCGCACACACGCACGCACACACGCACACACGCACATCAGGGACTGGGAGGACGAGCACTTCCGGCGAAAGTGGCGGTGGGCCGGTAAGCTGTCGAACTTCCACCATGCATCATGGGTGTATGCTGTCACCACGTGGCGCGACTCTCAATGGACAGCTGCGGTGGCCGACCTCGGCTCAGGGCGTCCATTCTGGCCTCTCCGGCGCAGATGGATGAAATTCGAAGACGTGCTCAGGCGGTTCTGTAGAGACGTGGATCTGGGAGACTGGCGGCGGCTAGCCACGGACAAAGTAGAGTGGGAGAGCCGCGCTTCTGAGGTTGCACGTTGGGCGGCGCGCGCGCGCGTAGCATATTGTATATTATTCGTCCTGCCCCTCGCGGGCCATTCTATGCCAGGACTTTCTGCTTCTGCTTCTGCTTAGATGCTCATCTCTCCACGCTTTTGCCCTTGATCGGGGACTTGCGAACCTCCCGAATGCCGCTCGCAGAAGTATATGCGTCCATATCACGCCGTCGCCCTCTCACCCAATTTCCCAAGCTACTTCTGCCTTGCACCGCGCAGGGGTTGGGTACGTCGCCAGGGTAATTTTGTGGCGCTGCAGGGGCGCGTGCCTTGACCACCGTCGGCGCGCTGGTGTACGTACGTCCGCCAGCGTGTCGGATGTGCTGTGCTCGTCGGGCGCTCGGTGCTCAGGAGGCCGAGTGGATTGCGAACCTCTGTGGCGGAGCAGCGCAGCGGCAAAGCCCTGCTCCCGTCGCGCGCTCCTCTTCCTCCTCGTCTTCGTCGTCGTCCTCCTCCTCCTCCTCCTACACACAATCCTCCTCACCTTCCTCCTCCTCCTCCTCCTCCTCCTCCTCCTCCTCCTCCTCCTCCTCCTCCCCTTCCTCCTCCTCCTCCTCCTCCTCCTCCTCCTCCTCCTTCTCCCCCTGCGCTGGAGGAGAGGACTGTGGGGCACTTCTTCCCCTGCTCGCCTTCCCGCCGCGCCGCCGGAGGTCCTCAGTGCGGTGGAGACGAAGGTGCCCGGCTACTTTGACAAAATCAAAGACGAAGTCCTCCGACGGGACGAAGGCCCCAAAAGGGTCGAGGAAGAGGGGGGAAGGGTATTTCGAGTGGTTGAGGGGGGCGGAGGAGGAAAAGAAGGCAGAGGAGGAGGAGGAAGAGGAGGAGGAGGAGGAGGAGGAGGAGGACCAGAGTAAACCCAGGAGTCATCAACGATGTTGGGATACACCTTCCCGTCAAGCTCCTCCTTCATAGGCCCCATGCAAGGGTTCATTCCCACTGCGGGAAATGCCCCGCTGGGAGACAACAGTGTGAAAATCCTGAAGCGTACCAAAAACAATTTCCAGGATAACCTCACGAGTCAGCTTGACTGTTGCGTCCTGATGATCCTGAATCGTGCCAGAACGCCCTTCTTGGGATGTCAACACCGCGACTCAACGTAACTGTGTCGCCCTGACAATTTTGAATTGTTCAAAATCGCCATTCCCAATCCGCGAATTGTTCCACATTTTTAATGCCAAGGTGCGCAGCGCTACGGCGAGAGCTACATTTTGAAAACGACCCGCGAAGCAATGACACATTTTGACAACGATTGTGCGGCGCGAAGGCGAGATCCTGAAGCTCTCCCACGACGAATGTGCGCAGCGCTAATGTGCGAACCACATTTTCAAACCATTCGCGCTCAATCCGTGAAGCCCTAGCGATTTTTTCAAGACGAATGTGCGCGGCGCAAAGGCGAGAGCCCTATTTTGAACACGACCCGCCCTCAGTCCGTGAAGCGCTGGGACATTTTTGAGACGAATGTGCGCGGCGCTAAGGCGAGAGCTATATTTTGAAAACGACCTGCCCTCAATCCGCAAAGCTCTTGCACATTCTTAAGACGAATGTGCGCGGCGCTTAGACGAGAGCCACTTTTTGAAAACGCTCCGCCCTCAATGCGTGAAACTCTGGCAAATGTTGAAGGCGAATGTGCGCGGTGCGAAGGCGAGAGCC